ACGTGTATATTTGAAAAAAAAATCTGGGAGTAAATACCAAAATGTTATTACTGATTAGGGTAGGAATAATGATTAATGATTTTTTTTATTTTTATTTTATTTATTATTTAATTTGCTCTACCAGAGAGAGAGAGCAACCATCAAGTCCAGGACTTGAACCACAGTCAGTTATATGAGGTTCCATTGCCCCAACCATCATGCCACCTACTGGCCCTATTTAATGACTTTTTTTTTTTAATACTAAGCGTGTATTACTTTCAAAATAAACATAAAACAATGAAAACAGTTCCCTTTTTATAATAGCTTTAAAAAAAAATCTTCATTTAGGACCACATCCAAAATGGAGAATGGAACATAGACAATTCAGTCCTGGGGCCAGCAGGTGGTGTGGTGGTAAAGGCACTGGACTCCCACGTTAACCACAGTTTGAGTCCTGGACCTGGCTATCTCACTTTCCCTCTTTCTCTGGTCAAATTAAAAAATAGCAATAATAAATTTAAATTATTTTTTAAATTATCCTGTTTGTTAGCTATTCTTTTTTAACTTTTCTTGAACATAGAAATATAGGTGTGTCGGATCAGCAGCTGGCATGGTGATTAAGGGCACTTGTACTCCTGCATGATTGACCCTGGTTCGAATCTTGGATCTGGCAACTTGCGCGCACTCTCTCTCTCTCTTTCTCTTTCTCTCTCTCCTCCCCCCACCCCGGTCTAATTAAAAGAAATAAATAAATGGATAAATAAAGTTAAATAATTATTTGAAAAAATAAATATAGGTGTGAGTTCCCCTTTTATGATTTATGAAAGTAGAGGAAAGACTGTAGTGAGGTTTTTATAGTTTTCCTTTTATTTTTTTTTAAAGATTTATTTCTTTTGGGACCAGCAGATGGCGAAATGGTTACATTGTTGGACTCCCATGTAGTCTACCACGGTTTGAGTCCTGGATCCAGTGGCTTAAAAAAACATGCCAGGCGCATGTGCAAGTGTGCCCAAAATCCCGAGAAAAAAATGGAGGGGCAGGGATTGCGGCATGGTTATGCCCCCTCGGGGGTGATTTCTCTCTTTATGTCTCTCTCTCTGGCAAGCGCATGTTCCCTATAGCAAAAATGTCCCTCAAGGGAAAAAAAAAGAATTACTCATTTTAATTTTCTTTTTTTTAAAATTTACTACAGGGCACATGTACTCACTAGAGAGAAAGGGAAAATGAGAAAGCAGGCCACCAGGTCCAAGACTCACACCCTGTCGGTCATGTGGGAGTCCATCACTTTAACCACCACACCACCTACTGGCCTGAGATTTTTGTATTTTTAAGAAAAACGATTTCACAAGAAATAGTGGGGTTCTTTGGCATGTACATTTGTAACAATTTTCCTGACTATTAAGGTAGAGCACTTGGGGGCCAGCAGGTGCTGTGAAGGTTTAAGGGACTGGATCCCACATAGCCTACTGTGCAGTTCAAGTCCCAGACCTGGGGGTTTGAGAAAACACTGAATGTGTGCACGTGTGTGCGTGTGCCCAAAATCCTGAGAGGAAACTGGAGGAGAAAAGACGGAGGTGTGGCCATCCCCTCTAGGGAATGATTTCTCATTTCTACATCTCTTTCTGTTTCTTTCTTGAGAGTATGCATACCCTATGGCAAAAACTTAAAAAAAAAAAAAAAAAGACATGGAGCATTTGATTTAGTGCCCTAAGGTTTCACTTTCTCCGTGTGTGTTTGTGTGTTTTGAAATGAAAAGTTCCTTGTAGAAATACAAGATTGGATCTTTTTATAACCCTTACTTTTTTTAATTAAAAAAAAAACAAACAAACAGGAATCTAAGAAGAGGTTTGATGCGGAGGAAGAATTTAAGAAACGAGCATACCAGTGCGTAGTTCTGCTCCAGAGTAAAAGCCCAGATTTTATAAAAGCTTGGAAACTCATCTGTGACGTCTCTCGCCAAGGTGAGGTTTTGGCCTTTGATTCATCCCGCAGAAACTACGCGTATGGTTTCCTTGAGTCTTTATTCAGAATTGACTTCAAATGGCATTTTAAACTTTGAATCTGTTGGCATATAGATTTTTTTTTAAAGAATTATTTAACTTTATTTATTTAAATTTAACCAGAGAGGATTAGACCATGTGAGAAAGAGACAGAGTAAGAAAGCAAGCCGCCAGGTCCAGGACTTGAACCAAAGTCAGTCATGTGGAAGTCCAGCACCCTTAACCACCCTTAACCACCATGCCACCAGCCGTCCCTGGCAAATAGATTTTTTTAAAGATATTTTTCTGAAGCTTAAAGAAGTAATAGAAAGTTTAATGAGGCAGACAGGTGCAAAGTTGAACCTTCTTAGAAATCAGCAAAGGTGTGACCAGCAGTTAGCGTAATAGGTATGTTGCTGGACTTCCGTGTAGTTGACTGCGGTTTGAGTCCCAGACCCGGTGGCTTAAAACTCACTCTGGGCGTATGTGCGTGTGTGCCCAGGATCCCGAGAGGAGAAGGGATTACGGCGTGGCCATCCCCCCTGGGGGGTGATTTCTCGCTTTCTGTCTCTCTCTCTCTCTCTTGCGAGCACACACACACTAACGCAAAAACCTCTCCAAAAAAAGAAAAAGAAATCAGCAAAGGTTAATTAGAAAATCAAATGAAAAGGGAACAGGAAAGAGGCTACTCAAAGTAGCAGCCAACATTATGAAACACTTAGGAATGAGGTATCTAGAAATGTACAGGACGAAAATGAAAAGGAATACACAGCAGGACATAACAGAATGAATAGCGTGCCCTGCCTGTTTCTGTAGTTCATTTATTATCTTAAGGCAATTTCATATTTTCAAACCTGACAAAACTATTGTAAAGGTCATTGTGGAAAGTAAATGGATTAGAATAACCAGTAAATATGCTTTTTTTTATGTACAATACATGTTTCCTTTCTATTTTAATTCTTATACATTGTCTTTATTTGGTGACACCTGCCCCCCAGAGTTTAATAAAATCTACGACGCATTGGACATCTCTTTAATAGAGAGAGGGGAATCCTTCTATCAAGATAGGATGAATGACGTTGTAAAGGAATTTGAAGATAAAGGTAGGCACTGTACTTTCTTCTAATGTTTTATTGAAATTTTCAAGCAAGGAAAAGTCACAGTAACTTGCGCCTGTGTGTACTCACCACCCAGTTAGGACAGCCTGCCACCCTTCCCGGGCTGTGCCTCCCCATGCACCCTGCTGGCGTTCAGCTCCATTGCTGTATCTGGAACTAGTTTGGTATATCCCTCTGAAAGAGCAGACCCTCCTCCTGCCCTAAAAATCATAAGGCTTATTATTATTAATATCATATTTTTCTTTTAGTTTATTTATTTCTTCCATAAGTGAGAAAGAGCCAAACAGACAGCACCCCAACAGAGTCTTGACATGGCGAAACACCTCAGCCTTCAGCCAGTCTTGTTCATGGGCTAGCGTGTGTCCAGGGTTTTTTTGTTGTTGTTGTTTTAATTAATTAATTTTATTTATTATTACTGTTTTTTTAATTTGGCCAGAGAGAGACAGACAGACGGAGAAGGAAAGTGAGAAAGCAAGCTACCAGATCTGGGACTGAACTGTAGTAGGCCACGTGGGAGTCCAGTGCCTTAACCACTGTGCTACCTACTGGCCCCTATGCCCAGGGTTCTTAAACCAGGAACCTTCCCATGTGGGTTTGCCTTGCAGAGTATCCCCTTTATCATTGTGTCACTATCTGTCCGCAGTAGTAAATTTTTTTTAGTTCAGTGGCTTTTACTTTACTTACTTATTTATTTATGTGTTTTTGCCATAGGGCACACGTGCTCACTGGAGAAAGGCAGAGAGAGACAGTGAAAGTGAGAAGTCACTCCCTAGGGGAATGATCATGCCACAATCCCTTCTCCTCCATTATCCTCCTGGGATTTGGACACACATGCACACATACCAGGTGCAATTTTCAAGCCGCCATATCTGGAATTCATACCACTATCAGCCGTGTGGGAGTCCAGTACCTTAACCACTATTCTACCTACTGGCTCCCCAATAATAAATTTTTTAAAGAATTATTTATTTAATTTTATTTATTCATTCTTTTATTTTAATTTGACCAGAGAGAGAGAAAGTAAGAAAGCAAGCTACCAGGTCCAGGACTCAAACTGTGGTTGGCCATGTGGGGATATCCAGCACCTTACCCACCACACCACCTGTTGGTTCCCCCAAAAATAATTTTTTTTTTTTTAGAGGTTTTTGCTGTAGGGCACATGCACTCGCCAAAAAGACAGAGAGATAGAAAGCGAGAAATCACCCCCCAGAGGGATGGCTACGCTGCAGTTCTTTCTCCTCCATTCTCCTCTCAGGATCTTGGGCACGCACGCACATGCTCCCGGCATGAGTTTAAGCCACCAGGTTTGGGACTCGAACCATGGTCGACTACGTGGGAGTTCAGCGACATAGCTATTGCACTAACTGCTGGTCCCCCAAAATAATTTTTTAATACCATTAAATAGAGTTTAAATGTCTCAAGTAATTTTTTAAACTTTAGTTTTTCCAGTGTGCATATTACATTCGTTTCGTATTATTAACATCTTAAGTTCTGTTATTCTGTAGCTTTCTCTCCCCATCTCCCTTTCTTTTTTAATTTCTCTTATTGTTGACTCGACTAGAACATTTGTCTTACAGAATTTTGTGTATGTTGTTATTTAGCAAAATTACCCTCTGTATTCTAGAGAGGCTTCATTTATCCTGACCTGTGTTTTCATTTCCTTTTTTCCTTTTTTTTTTGTTGAGTTTTTGTTTTGATTGTGGGGGAGAGTGATTTTTGTTTTATTTGCAGGCTGCCACATCTAGAACTTGAACCACAGTCAGCCATGTGGAGTCCAGCACCTTAACCAGCAAGCCGTCTTGTTTGTGTTTTTATTGTCAGAGGATATGTACACTTTGCCAAAGAGAAAGTGCCTCCTAGTGGAGCAAGGTCACACCACAATTCCATTTCCTCCTTTTCTTCATCCTCTTGATTTGGGGCACACGTGCATATGCACTTGGGGTTTTTTTGTTTTGTTTTGGGGGGTCTTTTTTTTTTTTTTCCAAGCCACCAGGACTGAAATTTGAACCATGGTCAGCCATAGGGGTTTTGGCTCCCTTAACCAGTAGGTTACAGCGCCAGGCTTCTGTGGTCTTTAGGGGTTTACCTTGCTTTTGATACAAAGTACTCCATGCTTGTTTTTATACATTTCCTGTCTTAGATCTGGACCTGCCATATCTCCAAGGAAACCTGGTTCTTGGGAGAATGTGGGATAAATAAGTACCATTTTAATGGTACTTGTTAATCATAATCTAAAGGTCCTAAAGGACCATAATTTAAGATAATAAAATTTCTGGGGCTGGCAGATGGAAAGGTGGTCAAAGGAGGTGGACTGCCTGGGACTAGCAGGTGTCATGTTGGTTAAGGCACTGGACACTCCCACATGGCTGACCATGGTTTGAGTCCCAGACCTGGTAGTTTGCTTTCTCACTTTCCCTCTCTGGTCAAATTAAAATACATAGATGAATAAATAAATAATCCTCTTTTTTTTTTGAAAAAAGATGCTGGACTGACACATGGCCAGCTGTGGTCCCAGACCTGGTGGCTTGCTTTCTCTCTCTCCCTCTCTGTCTCTCTCTGATCAAAGTGGAATATAATAATAATAAAGTTAAATAAAAGAATTCTTAAAAAAAAAATTTAAAAGATAGTAAAATTTCAGTTTGGTTGTTTTTCATTGCTGAGAAAACAGGAACTTTCCAAGATCACACAGTTAAGTACGATAATACTAGGTCATCGGGAAAGTCATGTGTTTTTTACTGGAAAAATGCATCATAACTTTCCGGTGACCCAGTGTATGTAAGATTCAAACCTCGGCAATCTGGCTTCAGACCTCACGTTTTTAGCCTGTCTCTTCTATCCAAGAACTTTGCCTTTTTCATCATACATACATGAACATTTTTTTCTTTCTCTTACCCTAACTGATTAGTCCTGCTGTTTCCTACACCTTTTGACAGTGTAGCTTCTTTGAGCATGCTGTAAGAGGCTACTATAGGAATTGCACCTACTCGTAGAGGAAGATATGGCTCCAACTTGAAAATAGCACAGATTTCCATGTTCTGTGCCTGCTGGACTAGTGGACTTCAGAGAGGAGTCCTGTAAAGAGAACTGTCAAGTGTAAGATGTGTCTAGAAAACTGCCAGACTATCTGACCTGTGCCCTGACTACATCCTAAGTACCCAGACAACCCTAATGTAGCTATTTTCCAAGACCCCAGTATGGCATGATGAGAAAAAAGTGTGATGTCTTCAGCTCTCTGATAAATGTTTTCTAAAATATTTCTAGGTTAACTAAACATTTATGTAGTGTTAGAATGACTGAGCAGGGACCAGCAGGTGGTGTGGTTAAGGGTGCTGGACTCCCACATGGCCAACCATATTTCGAGTCCTGGACCTAGTAACTCACTTTCTCACTTTCCCTCTGTCTGTCTCACTCTGTACCTCTCTGGTTAAATTTAAATAAATTAAGTTAAATGAAATAATTCTTTTTTTAAAAAAAGAGAGCAATCATACTCCTTTAGGGTTCTTTCAACATTATTAATAGTTTTATTTCGTTTTGTTTTTCTAGGATTTGTGCAAGTGGATGATGGCAGAAAGATTGTGTTTGTCCCAGGGTGTTCCGTACCATTAACCATAGTAAAATCAGATGGAGGTTATACCTATGACACATCTGACTTGGCTGCTATTAAACAAAGACTACTTGAGGAAAAAGCAAATATGATAATCTATGTGGTGGATAGTGGGCAAGTGAGTTTATAGATTTGTCTACATTTTTACGTTGTCTCCTCCTAGCTAAGACAGTGTGATAAGGGTGGTGGCATTTGGTACTTAGAAAAATAAGTTTTCCCCCAAAGACTAAGATTCAAAATAATAGTTTCACGTAGGAGAAAGGACAGGATTTAGACCCAGCAAACCTGGACACTCCTCAGCTTTTCAGATTATGGAAGCAAAGTGGAAAAAGTTACTTCTCTGAACCTCAGTAGTTGTTCTTATCAGTAGTGTTGATGTGAGACCTAAAATGGAGTTGAAGTCGCTGCATGTGAGCTTGCCCTTAATTCAGTTGCTTTTATAACCTTCAAACATAGAAAGTATAGTGACAGTCTTGCTCTTCCACTTTCTTATATAGGACATTAAAAGAACAGCTTTGATAATACTTGCCTCAGGAAATTTGTGAGTGATTAGAAATTTACAAATTATTATCCCTAAGCACAAGACCCTTAAGTTATTTTAAAAGTATTATTATTATTATTAGAAAACTAGGAAGTAACTTTCTATTTCTGTTGCTTTGTAGTCTGTGCACTTCCAGACAATATTTGCTGCTGCTCAAATGATTGGTTGGTATGACCCTAAAGTAACTCAAGTGTCCCATGCTGGATTTGGTGTGGTGCTAGGAGAAGACAAGTAAGTCTGGAAAACTTGAAGATAGTAATGATAGACTCGATCCCCATGCTTGCTTAGGAGAGGCTACCTTTTATTTGATAACCATATCAGAATGAAGAGTCCAGGCCCGCAGGTGGTGTGGAAGTTAAGCCAACTGACTCCCACATGGCCAGTTCTGCAGTTCAGGTCCCAGAAACAGTGGCTGGTCCACAGTGCTTTAGTTACACAGGCTGTAATGGTGAACCCAGCTGAGCCGTTTTGTACCTTTGTCTCATCACTGCCAGAGAATGGAGCCTCTTAGGGAGATACGGACAAGTTGAATGAAAACCAGACTAGATTTAACACACTATAAAAGGTTTCTACTTCCATAGGCCTGAGCCATGAAGTCTGTTATGGTACCTACTCAAGATTTGTGTCAAAGTAGTTTTATTTTTCAGGTTTGTTTTTGTTTTTTTTCTTTTTGTTTTTAGATATTTTTGCCATAGAACTTGTACGCTTACCTGAGAGACAGCGAGAATTCCCCAGGGGGAATGGCCTCTCTGCAGTCCCTTTTCCTCCATTCTCCTCTCGGGATTTTGGGTATGCACGCACACACACCTGGTGTGAGTTTTAAGCCACCGGGTCCAGGACTTGAACCACAGTCGACCACATGGGAATCTAGTGCCTTAACCACTTCACCTGCTGGCCCCATCAGTCAAAATATTTAATGATGTAGTCCAAGCATTTAGTAAAGATTTTGTTTTTTCTTCATAGTTGAATGCTTGGTCAAAAAGTATAAATTTATTGAGATTCTAGTTGAGTTTTAAGTTTCATTGCTTTCATTTTTATTTTCATCTCAATATTGTGAGCTACATATTAATATCTATGCTTTCCGTTTTCATATTTTTCAATCATTTACCCATGTTCCACTCAATATTTATTAAGTAAAAGGATAAATACAAATATTTCTTAATATATAATCAGTTCTAAGGCCTAAAACTTTTCGCGTTTTTAACGTCTTATATTCACTAGTATCTTAGGATCATTTGCCATTTAATCAGCTTGCCTTTTTTTTTTTCAATTTAACTTTTAAAATTTTTTAAAATTTTAATTTGTCCAGAGGAGGACAGAGTGAGCGAGAGGGAAGGAGGGAAATGAGCAAGCAAGCCACCAGATCCAGGACTCGAATCACGGTCCACCATGTGGGAGTCCAGTGCCTTTAACCACTGTGTCACCTGCCAGCCCCTCAGCATGCCTCTTAAACTCTATGGCATATTAGATTTGGTAACAAGACCTAAATATTACTATCACGCAGAGGAGATAGTGTTTCCAAAACCACATGAAATAACTTGAAATATTTGGCCAATGTACAAAAGCCCTAATTGATCATATATAAAAGGTACATTAGGAGCCTGGAGATTAAGGGAGCTGGATTCCACATGGCTAACCACACAGTTCAGATCTCAGCCCCTGCGGCTTATAAATCACATGGGCAGCATGTGCATGCCCCATTTCCTGACAGGGTGGAGAAATGGAGGAGAAGGACTGCAGCAGGAACATGCCCCATTGGGGGTTGCTTTCTCCCTCGATTTCTTCCTTTCTCTCTCAAGAGAGTTCACATGCCCTTTGGCAATTACAAATAAACAAATAGAAGATGGATTACCTAATCCTATCAAGGTGTAGGGTTTGTTTGTTTGTTTTTAAGTTAATTCTTTTTTATCTTGTCATGAAAGACATGTGAGAGAAACACAGAGGCGACCCCGACAGAGTGCTAGCACCACAGCCAACTCCAGTCTCAGCCGTCCTGGTCATGGGTACACATATACCAGGCCTGTTCCAAGAAGCCCTGCTACGTGAACTCAGGACCCTGCCCATATGGGTCTGTTGTGATAGCACTATGCTACCGACTGACTCCCATATATTTTACATTTTCATTTAATGCCAGAGGACATGTGCATACACTAGAGAGAGAGAGAGCGTGAGGGACTCCCAAGCAGAGCCTGGACATTCCAGGTTTCCCTCCAGTTCTCCATCCCAACAGGATCCTGGGCATACATGTGCACACCCACAGGTTTTTCCAGTCAAAAGGCCAGGCTGTGTGAGCTCTGGCCTCCTCTTGTGCCTAACTTCTGTGTATAGGAGCCACTCCTCACAATACTATTTTAGACACAAAGTATATGGAGGTCAAAGATGTGCTTATAAACATTTCCAATAATAACATGATTTGGGGGGGAGTGGTACTTGTTTGGAGTCAAAAGACAGTTGGGTCCTTTTTATGGTGTTTATAGTCCTAACAAAGTGCTTGAAAACTAACCAGTCAGGGGCCAGCCAGTGACATGGTGGATTGGGATGGCTGGATCGCACGTGGCCAACTGCATAATTTGAGTCCCAGACCCAGCAACTTGAAAAAACAGACTGGAGGTGGGGTGGGCAACTGGTGACATAGTGGTTAAGGTGCTGGACTCCCACATGGCCAACCGTGGTTTGAGTCCCAGGCCTGGTGGCTTGCTTCCTCACTTTCCCTCTCTTTGTCTCTCTCTGGTGAATTGAAAAACAATAGTAATAATAAATAAAATTAAATAATTTTTAAAAAATAGACTGGGTGCTTGAGTGTGCATGCCCAAAATCTTAATAGTGGAGGAGAAATTATGGCATGGCCATCCTACCTGAGGGTTGCTTTCTCACTGCCCCTGCTTCTGTCTCTCTCTTTTGAGTAGGCACGCCCTATAGCAAACTTTTTTAATGAAATAAAACAGCCAATCACTTTTAAAAATTATTTAAATATTGCTTATAGTACCTTTTTTCTTTCTTAATGGGTGTAAAGTAGGTTGGCACTTTTGTTTATTAAAATCTATTGGTATTCCAGATGTCCTCATAATAGAACCACTGGTGGAAGTAGACACACACAGTAAACTTCAAGGCAGGTGTAGGTAGGGAGTAACAAAAAGGATCTTTTATTGCAAATTAGAGGCATTAAGGGAGGTTCCCGTTAGCCTTTTAGCTTTATGATGAGTTTCATTTCATCAGAGATTGGGAAATTGTTGGACACTGAAGAAAGCTATAGCATAAAGTCATGGAAATATTTAGAGTATTTATGCAATAATAAAGGAGTTTTAATTCTGTGAGAAAGGACAAGTAGATCCTTCCTAAGGCAAACTGATAATAAAATTGTAGTAGGAAGTACTGCATTATTTTGGTAGGTATTGTGTTAGAAGTGCATGCTTCTTTTGTACTCTTGGTGCATTTGAAGGATTTTTAACCAAATAAAGGAAGAAAATAAATTACATATTTGATGTCCTGCAATTTATCTGTCTAATAGGTGTTAAGAGATTCCAGTTTTCTCAAAATGCTTCAATAGTGCAGCTGCCAGGCCAGTGCTCGTGAGGGCTTTTGCCCCATTTACAGAGTCTCGTTTCAGCAGACCTGAAGGGGGTCCTGGTGTCCTGTTCTTTTTAAATCCTCCAGCCGACTCTGATAAGCATCCAGGATGCATTACCACTAAACAAGAGGAGTCTCGCCATGTAGAGAAATACAAATAAGTTCCAGTAAAGAATTCTTCCCAAACAATTCTAATGCAAACGTGTTTTTAAACAAGATAAAACAGCTAAACTGAACTTTGTGTTCCAGGAAAGTGAGCGAGCTTTCACCTGTTAGGGAATGTGGTAAAGGAGAACACCTAGTAATGGGACTGGGGCTGGGGCCTAGGCTGAGTTGGGGCTCCAGATGCGCACACTCAGAACGCCGCGTCCCTCCCCGGTTGCCAGCTGGAGTGAGGTTGTGTTACGCTGGCATCAGGCCCTCGTAATTGTTCTCAGGGGAAGCATAAATCTTAGAGATTTCAACAGGCATATATTGCCATTTGTGATCAGGTCCCTCAAACCTTCACTTTCAGAGATTTCTAAGTTAACCCTTTCAAAATTTATTTGATTAAGACTTTTCAATGTTTTTAGGAAGAAGTTTAAAACACGTTCGGGTGAAACAGTACGCCTCCTAGACCTTCTAGAGGAAGGATTAAAACGATCTATGGACAAATTGAAGGAAAAAGAGAGAGACAAGGTAAGACAAGGCTTTATCGGCGTCGTGGGTCCTGTTCCTCATGTTATAATTTATCTTCATTTTTGCTTTCCTTGAGAGAACTGAGTAAAATTGTGAGGCGTTCAGTCCACGGAGGGCAGGCTTATGTTCAGATTTTATTGCATAGTAAGTTTGTTTCTTGAACTGCCGAGTATTTATCTTGAAAATACAGTTCTCAGCAATGACATGAGGCCTTTGTTAATGGGACATAGTGCCGGAGCTGCGTAATGGCAGTCCCTGCTGGTGGGAGAAGGTTACAGACAAAGGGGGTTTGATTCTGCAGCGGAGTCCACATCTGCCGAGTTCCTTCTCGAGCATTTGTAGAGTCGCCATAGCAGGCACCTCTTACCACCCAGGGCAAGTTAGCAACACAGGCAACATGATTGGGCTTTTGGGGCACCCTTAGAAAAGTTAGCAACACAGGCAACATGATTGGGCTTTGGGGGCACCCTTTTAAGGGGCATGGGTTGGGTATGTGTGGAATTTGCAGGAATTATATCAAAATGAAGTAAAGTTAACCAAAAAAAAAAACATTTTTAGTTTATTTCTTCCATGAGTGAGAGAGACAGAGAAAGGCCCCCCAGTAGGATCTTCTTTGTGCAGTCCATCCCTAGCTGAGGTTGGACTGAATCACAGGCACACTTGTAAGGACCTAGTGTGCTCAGGGATGTCCCAGAATGTGAGCCCAGGGTCTTTCCCAGGTGAGTCCGGTTGCTCCACTACCTGGCTTTCCTCTGCCATAACTTAATTGCCAGAGGGCACATGTACTCATCTGAAAGAGACAGAAAGAGGGAGAAAGTATCCCCTAATGGGGTGTGATCACTACCCCTTTTTTTTTTTTTTTTTTTTTTTTGAGAGGTTTTTGCTATAGGGCGCATGTGCTCCCCAGACAGACAGAAAGCGAGAAATCACCCCCCCAGGGGGGATGGCCACGCCACAATCCCTTTTCCTCCATTCTCCTCTTGGGATCTTGGGCATGCACCCACACGCGCCCGGCATGAGTTTAAGCCACCAGGTCTGGGACTCGAACTGCAGTTGACTACATGGAAGTCCAGCGACATAGCCAACATTATGCTAACTGCTGGTCCCCCCACTATCCCTTCTTACTTCTCTATTCTATTGGGATATTGGGCACATAGGTACACGTGCTATTGGATATGTTTCTCAAGGCTCCATGACTGGGATTCAAACCATATGGTCAGTCATGTGGGGTCCAGCATGTGGCTTGAAAAACATGCCAGGTGTGGGTGGGTGTGAGTGTGTGACCAAAATCCCAACAGGATAGAGAAGTGAAGACGAGATTATGGCATGACCACTTCCTTCTAGGGAGTGCTTTCTCCCTCTTACTTTGTCTGGTGAGCGCACACATCTCTGGCCAGTTCTTTTGAAAAAGGATGAGAGTGGCAGGGAGAAGTCAAGGATTAAGGTGTAAAAGGTCTTAAGTCTTCCCTTCAGAGCATAAAGTGATATTTCGAAATGAACACACTACTATAAACACAAGAGTAAACTTCACAAGGGAGGGGGCAGAGTCGGATTAAGAGGTAGACATGAAAAAATCAAACACAACAAAAGTCCTTTGAGGACAAGCCCGCTGGCTGAAATAAATGACCGATAGCCCAGAGAGCATGAAGGCAGGCCATCGGCTGCATCCTCTCCACCTGCTCCTCTCCACTGCCAGCAGAATGAAGTGTCATTTTTTTCCTCTACTTCCAGTAGATTGTTGCCAAGTCTACCCAGCTGGTATCTCCAAAGTACTTTTGCCATTTAATCCTGGCATAGGCACACCTGGCACAATCCATTGAAGAGTGGAAAGGCTAGTCACTTAATTTGTTTAGTCTGCCTGCTGACAAAAACTGCTTTGACTTTATTTGACTTCCCTAGCTAATTTTTTAAGTTAATTTGCATATGGTAAAATGCACAGCTTGATGAATTTTTACTTATATACCACCCAATTGAGACTTATTTCTATCAACCAAGAAATTTTCTGATCACTATAAATCATTTTATGTATTCTGGAATTTTTTCATTCTATGAGAGAGAAAGGCATCCTTTAATAGGGTCTCCATGCCACAATCCACCCCCAATCTTAGCCAGCCCAGTGCACAGCCACAAGCACATGGCCTGTCACTTGGGAGGTGAGTCTGCTGATATGAATCCAGGACATTTTACACGAGCGTCCAGGTGTGTGACTGCTGCACACAGCCTGGCCCCGCAGTTCGCAGTTCTTTTTTTTTTCTTCTTCTTCTTTTTCTTTTTTTGGAGAGGTTTTTGCTATAGGGTAAGTGCACTTGCCAGAAAGACAGAGAGACAGAAAGCGAGAAATCACCCCCCAGGGGGGGATGGCGACACTGCAATCCTTTCTCCTCCATTCTCCTCTCAGGATCTTGGGCATGCACGCATAAGCGCCTGGCATGAGTATAAGCCACCAGGTCCGGGACTCGAACCACGTCAACTGCATGAGAGTCCAGCGACATAGCCATTACGCTAACTGCTGGTCCCGGCCCCGCAGTTCTTTAAATTGCTGAGTAGAATTTGTTGTATGAATGTGCCACGTTTTGGTTATCTGTTCTCCTGTTGATGAACATTAGGATTGTCTCCAGTTCTTGGCTATCGTGTATAAAAAGTTCATTTGAACATCGTTGTTGAAGCCCGTCTGGAGACATGTGTTCTGTTTCTTTTTGGTATATGTCCAGACATGACATTGCTGGGCTGGAGGGTCGGCCCGTGCTGACGTTTAGTCCATGTCATGGAGGAGAGCGCTGTAGCCATTATATACTCGTATGCTCCTGCTAATATGTGGGCGTTCTGTTGGCCTTTTTCTTAGACTTTCTGATGAGTAAGTAATAGCATCTTATTATGGCTAAGATATGCATTTTCCTGATGAATAATGATTCTGATGCCTTTTCTTAAGCTTATTGGCCACTTAGTTGTGAGAAGTCTTACTGGAAAATGTATATTGGCCTTTTGTGAAGAGTCTGGGTTTTTTTTTTTTTTGATTTTTGTTATGTTTCTGCTTTAAACCATCCATATCCCTTATATTTACCCACATGTTTACCTTTTCCTGTATATTTTATGCCTTCCTGAGATTTTTTCACCTTTGGGGTTATTTTCCTTCAGTTTAAAGATCTCCTTAACTATTTTTTGGTAGCATAGATCTGCTGGTGACATTTTGATAACACTTGTTTGAAAAGAAATAATTGTCAGATGGGCCTGGCAGGTGGTGTGATGGTTAAGGGTGCTGGACTCCCACATGAAAAACTGTGGTTCAAGTCCCAGACCTGGCAGCTTGCTTTCTCCTTTTCTCTCTCTCTCACTCACACTTGCTCTCATTCTGTCCCTCTCTGGTCCAATAAACAAACTAACAAGTTACATAAAATATTCTTTAAAAAGAAAAGAATTCATTGTCGGAGAGAAAGATGGGGAAAGGGAGAAAACACTCCACAGTGGGACATGCCCATGCCACAGTTCCTTCTCCGCATCGCCACCTGTCAGCATTGGGCACGCACATACAGCTGGTGTAGTTTTCAAACTGCCAGGGCCGGGATTCAAGCCCTGGCTTCCTTAACCACTTGGCTGTGGGGCCAACTCCAAAAAACTCTCTTTTTGTCACTGACTGGGAATAATGTCTGTGTTAGATACAGGGTTGTACTTAGCAGCTGTTTTCTTTCAGCATTTTAAAGATAGCACTCCATTGTCTCCAATTTCCATAGTTTCTTTCTTTCTTTTTTTTTTTTGGAGAGGTTTTTGCTATAGGGTGCGTGCACTCGCCAGAGAGACAGAGAGACACCTTATAGTGATTTGGAAAATGCCTTCAGGGGAAAAGCCAGGTGAAGGTGGAACTGATAGCCTGTGTTTCCCTTCTCTGGAGAATTACAGCCTGGGCTAGTCCTGTAGCCCAGAGGTTAGAACTTGTACTGAGGGATCCTGAACCCACATGGCTGGCAGGATTGGGTCCTGACCCTGGTGGCTTTTCAGACACACCGTGTGTATGTACATGTACATGCACACGTATGTACATGCCCCAAATCCTGACAGGATAGAGAAATGGAAGAAGAATTGTGGCATGATCGTGCCCTTTTGGAAGATGCTTTCTCTCCCACCAGCCAATTCTCATGTCCCTGGCAATTAAGAAAAGTTAAAGCCCCTGAAACTTTGTGTTGATGTTCTCGTTGACTTCAAATAGTTATTCCACACATTTTACCCAGCTTTTTAGTAGTTGCTTTGGATGGAAAGGTTTGTCTGCCCCAAGCTACTCTATTGTGAGCAGATCACAAATCCCTAAGTACTTACTCATGGCCCAGTGATGCTTCAGATCCACGACCAAGTATTAGTGAGATGGTGCTCGAGTTCCTGCATTCATTTCCGATACCTGAGCTTTTCAGCTACGTGACCCTGGGGTCTTTGGTTGGTTGGTTGTTTACTGTATTATTTGTTTCCCTTTTATAATTTTTATGTTTGTGGCATGAAGTAGATATAAACTAATAATCAGTGCTTCGAGTTTCATGTTTACCGAACACATGGGAAAGTATTCAAGCTGATGCTTGACATTTCATGGATTAAGTTTCTCATGGAGACATTTCCTTACTGTGCACATTTGATGCATTTTATATTTTCATTGTTGTCTTTGTACATGTGCCTGTGAAGTTCTACCTCATTGTCAATGCTTACTAACATTTATTGATATAGGGGGCCGGCAGCTGGCATGGTGGTTGAGAGCACTGGACTCTCACATGGCCAACCACAGTTTGCGTCCCAAACCTAGCAACTTACTTTCTCACTTTTCCCTCTCTCTGTGTCACTCTGTCCCTCTTTGGTCCAAGTAAAGTAAATAAATAAAGTTCAATAAAATAAGTAAATAATGTTTGTTGGTATAGAAAAGAAAGTTTATTGATAGAAGAGTTCCATTGGCTACTCCCTACATTCTCCCGTCTGGGAGACCCCAGGACCAAGGCAGCGGTCAGTAAGCTGTGAGATATTTGCTTTACCCGAAGGTCCTGACTGCCGAGGAGTTGAAGGCTGCTCAGACGTCCGTGGCTTATGGCTGTATCAAGTATGCTGACCTTTCCCACAACCGGCTGAATGACTACATCTTCTCCTTTGACAAAATGCTGGATGACAGAGGGAACACAGCTGCTTACTTGTTGTATGCCTTCACGAGGATCAGGTACGTGTAGACAGGAGCTGTTTTATTGTGACTCAAACGAGGTCGTACTTACATGCTCCAGAATACCTCGTCTAGTTGTGTGTGAATATCTTCGGACATACTTCTTCATTTCGAAGTGCAGGTTATCCCTGAATCCCCAAACCCTCCCTTTTTACCCTGGCAGATACCCCTCCTAGGCATGCTTGCTTAATACTGGGGTGGCGTCAGCTAAAAGAATTACATTCTCATCTGTCCCATTATGAAATGCTCTAGACCAGATTATTAGTTTTCCCTAATAGTGTGCCTTTTAATAACATACTTGGTGTATTTTGGGTTTTGTTTTTTTGGAGTTTTTTTGAGAGAGATTTTTGCTATAGGGTGCTCACCAGAGAGACACAGAGACAGAAGGCAAGAAATCACCCCCTCCCCGGGATGATAACCAAGCCACAATCTCTTCTCCAAAATGCTCTCAGGATTTTGAGCACACAAGCACACACACCTGGCATGAGTTTTAAGCCGCCAGGTCTGGGGCAAACTATGGTAGACTGTGGGAGTCCAGCAACATGAACATTACTCCATTAGCTGGTCCCATACTTAGTTTTTAGGTTTCGTTTTTTGGTTTTTGCTGTAGGGCATGTGCACCTGCCAGAGAAAGAGAGAGAGAGAGAGGGAAAATGAGAAATGGCCTACAGGAGGCTTGGCCACACTGCAGTCCTTTCTCTCCCATTCTCCTCTTGGGATTTTGAGCACACATGCACACACACCAAAAGTAAGTTTCAAGCTACCAGGTCTGGGATTTGAACCACAATTGGCCAGGTAAGAGTTCAATGCCTCAACCACTTCCCATCTGCTGGCCTTAAGAATTTATTTATGTACTTTAAAAAGGATTATTTTTCTTTTTTCTTGTTGACGAGAGGGACAGAGCAAGAGAGAGCAAGCGAGAAAGTAAGAAAGCAGGCTACCAAAAGTCCAGGACTTGAACCACAGTCAGCTATGTGGGAGTCCAGTGCCCTTAACCACCACACCACCTGCAGGCCCCAAGAATTTATTTATTTATTTATTTTGTTTGTTTGTTTTTTGGAGAGGTTTTTGCTATAGGACGCATGCACTTGCCAGACAGACAGATAGAGACAGAAAGCGAGAAATCACCCCTCAGGGAAGATGGTCACGCCGCAATCCTTTCTCCTCCATTCTCCTCTCGGGATCTTGGGCACGCACGCACACGCGCCCGGCGTGAGTTCTAAGCCACCGGGTCCGGGACGTGAATCGCGGTCGACTACGTGGGAGTCCAGCAACATAGCCATTACACTAACTGCTGGTTCCCAAGAATTTATTTTTAATTGATGATACTGTCTGAGTTTTACCTGCCACTTTCTGAGTCAGGAGACCTGAACATGCCTAAGCAAAAGGAACAGTGGTGGCTGCCCGGTTGTTTCAGGTCTATCGCACGTCTGGCCAACATTGATGAAGAGATGCTCCGGAAAGCCGCTCGAGAGACCAAGATCATTTTGGACCACGAGAAGGAATGGAAATTAGGCCGATGCATTTTACGGTTCCCTGAAATTCTGCAGAAGATTTTAGATGACTTATTTCTCCATACTCTCTGTGACTATATCTATGAGCTCGCAACTGTTTTCACGGAGTTCTATGATAGCTGCTATTGCGTGGAGAAAGATCGACAGACTGGTGAGTATCTCGTCCAGTGGCCATGTCGGGGATGCGGCTCCTTCAAGGCATTTGCGTTCTGTGGGGTGGTTCTCCAGTGTGTGTTCTTCCTGGAAGCTTCCTCTCCCCCTCCAAACAGTTAAACAGTGATCCATGACAGAGTACACAAAATTTGACACGGCTAATAAAAGCAGAAATGGAATCTGCCCAATTAGTCTGTTTCTCTACCCTCAGGCACATAGGATAGAACTTTAGGACACACCAACACACACACATACAAAATTGGGAGACACTGGGAGTAGGACTTTTCCAACAAAAGTGATGTGTCCAAGGATCCCACAATCAGTCTTTGAGTGATCATGATGATAGAAACTGCCCACAGAAAACAATTGATATCTTTTCTTACTTTAAGCTTGCTGTTCTTGGTCATGTTACGTACTTATTGAAGTGAATTGAATTAATATGATATAAATAAAATAATTTTTTTCTTCTCTGGTCAAATTAAAAAATATAAAGTTAAACAATTCTTTTTAAAATTATTTTATTTAACTTTATTGTTTATTTATTTTAATTTGACTAGAGAGCAACAAAGTGAGAGAGAGAAAGAGAGAGAAAGGAAGCCACCAGGTCCAGGACTCAAACATTGGTCAGCCATGTGGGAGTCCAGTGCCCTTAACCACCACACCACCCGACAGCCCCAAATAAAATAATTCTTTAAAAAATAAATTAAAGGTAATATTTACACTTTTTTTTTAAAATTAATTTGTTAGAGGGCACATGTGCACAACCAGGGGGAGAGGGAGGCAGCTCCCCCTATGGGGCGTGTTCACACAACAATCCTTTCTCCGTTTCTCCATCCTGTTGGGATTTGAGGCATGCCTGCAAGCACACGCAACATGTTTTCCAAGCTGCCAGCTCTGAGATTTAAACTGCAGTCAGCTGAACTGTGATTCAGCTTCCATAACTACCAGGCCATGGGCTGGCCCAAAATGTACAGATTTAATCGGTGCAGGCCTTATGTTCCAGTTTTTTTTGTGTGTGGGGGGGGTCATTTTATTCAATTTTATTTATTTAACTTTGATCAGAGAGGGACAGAGCAAGAGAGCGAGCAAGAAAGGAAGCAATCTGCCAGCTTCAGGACTTGAACCGCATTCAACCATGTGAGAGTCCAGTGCCCCTAACCACCACGTCACCTGCTGGCCCATATATTTCATATCTTGATTCTCAGTTAAAAACTTATTACTTGGGATCAAGGGAATATAATGCTTATGTCACTAGACTCCCATGTAGTTGACTGTGGTTCAGGTCCTGGACCCAGCAGTTTAAAACTCACACTGGGCACGTGTGCATGCATGACCAAGATCCTGAGAGGAGAGTGGAGGAGAAGGGATTGTGGCATGGCCATCCCCCCAGGGAGATGATTTCTCGCTCTCTGTCTCTCTGGTAAGCGCATGTGCCCTTACAGCAAAAATCTCTCTTAAAAAAAAAAAAAAGAAAAAGAAAACTGATGCCTTTAATTCTTAGTTTGTCTCTTTCCATAGTGTAGGGCAGCAGTCCCCAGGCCATAGACTAATGACACTCTGTCGGGCTGTGCAGTGGGGGTTGGGCAGCAGGCGAGCAAAATGTCTGTGTTGGTAGCCTCTTCCTGTCACTGATGTGGCCACCCGGGCCCTGCCTCTGGCCAGATCAGTGGCAGTATTGGGTTCTCATGGGAGCAAGGACCCTCTTGCTATATGGTTGATTGTTGTATAGTGTGGTCATGGTGGAAATGGGGTGCCTGGTGAATGTGGTGTGCTGAGGTCATCTCAGGACCAATCTTACCCCCTCCCCTCATCTGTCCATCTGTGGAGGGATAGTCTCCCCTGAGGCTGGTCCCTGGTGCCAGGAAAGCTGGGGACTGCTAGTTTAAGCTGAGGCAAGTCTACTTAAAGCCTAAAACACTTGTGCGTTAGGCTGTTCCCTAATAGCCTAGTAGATCTCTGATGATGAATTTCAGAACGGAAAACAAGGCCTGTAATCTCTTCTTTTCTCCATCTTCTCAGGTAAAGTCCTGAAGGTGAACATGTGGCGGATGTTGCTCTGCGAAGCAGTCGCTGCTGTCATGGCCAAGGGGTTTGATATCCTGGGAATAAAACCTGTGCAGAGGATGTAGTCCTCCCTAGGTGTGAACACCATGTGTTTTTACCAAAGTGGCCATCTGCACTGTTTGCTTTTTTACAATCATGTGGATACAAAAACAAGTAAAGAAAACTTGTCAACTATTTCTGCACACTGGTTCATTTTTTCTTTTTAACGTTCGTTTCTTCCTTGAGTGAGAGAGATAGATAGAGCATCCCCACAGGGTTTCAGACCATGATCCAGTCCTGATTCTGAACATGCGTATGCCCAGCACACAGGGAAGTCTCCGGGCTTGAACTGTAAGCTACTGAGTCCAGGACTCAAACCACAGTCGACCATGTGGGAGTCCAGCGCTTTAACCACCACACCACCTGCTGGCCTCAACCACTAGAATTCTAAAAAAGAAAATCACTTTCACAAATAGGCTTATTTCTTACTGAGCATTAAACAAAAATGATTTGGTGAAGGCTGTGGAATAACAGGATGTGTGTACAAGAGTCCATTGGCTTGTCAGGTAGTTTTCATTAATTCTAGCCAGCGAAGAAATCCCAGTCACTGAGCTCTGCTAGGCACCAAGAACTGAACACACCTCACTCTCCCCTTTGTTCCTAATTCCACTTTTCTTTGTAAGTGACACAACTAAGGCTCCACAGAGCCCTGAATTGCTCAGGAACAGAAACCACAGTTCGTACCTATGCATGCCTGACTCCCAAAGGCGTCTTTTAGTGAGAGAGAGCATTGGCAATGTCACAGACCTGGGCTCAGGGGAAGGGGACAAGAAAACAGTTAATCTGAAGTTTCAGATTAACTCAGCATCTCATCTGCTGTATGCCAATCCCAGTTGCAAGAGAAGGTGGGAAAGTATGAATAAGCTTAAAAGAAGAGAAGTGGTGCAGCCCTAGGACCTGATAGCGCTGTCCGTGGTGCTAACCACGCACCAAGGTCTTCGGCGCCCATGTTGCTGTCCTTGGTGCTGCCGAGAGGTATTCCCTCCACCACACCCGCAAAGCTCAGGAAGGGTCCGCGGAGTGAAAGCAGGTTTAAAAGCATAAGCGAGAATTCAAACAACACGAGCTGCGGCTCCTGCGGAGGTGGTGACGGAACCTTAGGTTCGCAGCCTGCTGTCACCATTCGCACTTAAGAGCCCAACCCGAGACTTTCTTGCTGTCTGTTAGAACAAGTTCAGGGGTTCAGCGCAGCTAATGGGCTAGAGCAGCGCTACATGGAAAGCGCAGCTGTGGCTCACAGGCCATTGACTGCGGCAGTGGGGCCTTACACTTCGGCCATCCCTGGCTTTCAGTCTTCCTCCCCAATTTTTCCTTTGCAAGCTCTCAGTCCTGTGAATGCTCTTTCTGAAAACTTCGTGGTTGCTCCGCTTAATCATCTGCATGCCACTTCCATGGCCACAGCGGCATTGCCACTGCTGCTGTTGCATCCTCACTAGTTTTGACCACCATTTTTTTCTCTTCCGGTGGGGGGGTGGGGGGGATGCATTCTCATGAGCATGGCATGGCTCAGTCCCTTCTCCATTTCTCTGTCCTGTCAGAATATGGGGTATGCACACACATGCACCCAGCCTGTTTCTGAAGCCAATGGGCTGGCATCTGAATGGTTGGCCATGTGGGATCCAGCTTCCATAACGACTAGGCTATAGAGCTGGCCCGTAACTGTCATTTTTTGGTATAATCACGTTCACAACAGAACTTCCAGTGCAATAACTAGGTCAAAGTACGGATTTGTTGTTGAATGTCTTGTCAAAATATCGGTGCCAATTTGCTGCTTCCCAGACTTGATCAGTCCCACTCTCTGGGGACAGAATCTCTAACAGCAAGATATTTATGTAAAAGAAAGCAAAACTGTTCAATTTTATTGTATATAAACTATATCTCAATAAAAAAGATTGACCGAAAGGATTATATAAAAATCCAAACGGGCTGGCAGGTGGCGTGGTTAAGGTGCCAGACTACCATGTGGTCAACCACAGTTCAAGTCCCAGACCTAGTGGCTTGCTTTCTCACTTTCCCTTTTTCTAGTCAAATTAAAATAATAAATAAAAATAATTCTTTTTTTAAATAAAAAAGAAAGCTAACGCTGAAGAACACTAGTAGGCACCATGGCTGCAGTGTGTGTGGTGCTTCAAAACAAAGCTTTGGGGCCAGCAGATGGCGTGTTGGTGCTGGACTCCCACATGGTTGACTGCAGTTCCAGGAGGGACACAGTGGCTTGAAACACGCTGGGCATGGGGTATGTGGGGTCCCAAAACCCTGAGAGGAGAATGGAGAGGGATTGTGGTGTGGCCACCCTCTCTTGGGAGGTGATTTCTCTCTTCCCTCTCTGGTGAGCTCACCTTCCCTGTGGCAAACACCTAAAAAACACAAAAATCTCTGAGGTAGAGTCTCTGCCACAGAGGAGATGGTGAGACCCAGAGAGACCAAGGTGCTTGCCCCAGTTTCTAAGATTCTCAGAGTCAGGTAAGCTCTCCAGGCCACTCAGCAAGCACGTGGCACAGCAAGGACAGAAACCTCTTCTGCAGAGACACGCGGTCGCCGGGGCCCAAGGGAGTGCCAGGGGTCACAGAATGATGGGGTGGGGAAGAGTTCAGAACAGGCTGCGTCTGCGCGCAGGGCGGGAAGGGGGCT